GTGGGTCATGTAAGGAAAACAAAATATAAAAATCAGGCCTTCGCCATTTCTTAATGATTACTAAACCGCTATAAACATGTAGCGGAAGAAACAATTAACAAGTATAGTTTTAGTTTTGGGATAAATATGCCTTTATTTAATTGCGGTAATTACTGAATATGTAAAACGTTCAATCAACGGTAAAACTAAGAAATTCAACGTTTTGGTTATGTAATATAATGTTATGGACAATATTTCGAAGTATCAGATAAACTATAATGCTTACTTCGTGATCGGCAACATCGATTAGGTACATACGCACAATATTGCACAATAAATTGATAACACAATAGGTAATAATGTAAAGTTTTTGAAGTGTTTATAGAAAATCAGCAGTAATTTTTGATAGGATAATAGTCGAGACTCTTAATTAACTCGTGAAGTGTTTATCTAATAATCGAAGGGTAATATTAATATAAAAACTAATAGGCGAGACTCTGAAGTGTCTATTATATATAAAATGTTACATAGCTGACAATAAGAGATACAAACATTAACGGTATTTGATCATTAAAAGCTCCCAGGAGGGGCCATATTTAAATTTACAAACACAACCGAACTTATGTGGAATCACCGTGTATTTTAAACCAATATTTATTTCTTTTGAAGAAATTTGTTATTGTTGCTAAGAAAGGTTTTTATTGAAAATAAACAAACTAATATAACAATCAGATAACACAGTCCGGTACGGTATAGATTATTTATTTTAGTTGTAAATTGAACGAAAATAAATAAACTAACTTTTGCTTTTAAAAACGAAAGTATGCCTTGTTAATGGATGTACCATGGGGAAATATTATTGGTCTTATGGAGGAAGGAAAGGACTCTGAAACAAAAAAAAAGACTAGATACCTTTGAAATGTATATATGCAGACAGACATGCTGTGGCCTGCTTGCTTACCCGACCTTAGCTCGATAGAGCATTTGACTGATATGCTTAAAAAAAATTAGACCGCGCCGGCATAAGTCAGCCGGCATACTCTTGAAGAGAAAAAATAACCTACCACAATAAAATCTTGACAATATGTTTTATTAACACCTACTACTAAAAAAACATAAATTAATAAAAATAATTTAAACATAATTCCTTGTAAATTAATTACTATTTATAACTGGGAATAAGCCACATTAAAGATAAAAATACATTTATTGACGTTTCAATTTCAAATGACGACTCCATAATCATCCTACCAGCAGACAAGGGGAATGCAACAGTAATAATGGATAAAATTCAATACGAAAATAAAATTAAAGATCTATTAATAAACGGACCTTATACAAAATTAACAAAAGATCCAACAAAGCCTTTGGAAAACAAAATATATAGAACTTTATTCAAGTTTAAAGATGTTTTAACAAGTTATCAGAGAGGATTAATTACACCTCATTACAGTAAGACTCCTCATTTTTATGGAGTACCGAAAATTCATAAAACGAATATACCACTTAGACCCATTTGTAGTACCATAAATTCTCCTTGTAGTGAACTATCAAAATTTTTATTAAATATTTTAAAACCTTATACAAATAAAAATGACACATTCATAAAAAATACACAACATTTTTTAAATAAATTATCAAATATTGAATTTAATTCAAATAATACTTTGGTAAGTTTTGACATAAATAGTTTATTTACGAATGTGCCATTAAATAAGACTTTAAGTATAGTCAAGACAAAATTAGAGAGTGATGATTCATTGGCAACTAGAACAAGACTAAACATATCGGCTATAATGGAGTTATTAACATTATGTACTGATAATACATATTTTCAACTAAATAATGAATTCTATAAACAAAATTTTGGTCTAGCAATGGGCTCTAGTTTATCTCCATTCTTAGCCGATATATTTATGGAAGATTTTGAAACAAATATCATTTCTAAACAAAATTTCAAACCCACAGTATGGTGGAGGTATGTAGATGATGTATTCTCAATATGGCCTCATGGATCAGAGTTGTTGGACACATTCCTAAACGATATAAACGATAAAGAAGAGACAATAACATTTACCATGGAAAAGGAATATAATAACACGCTACCTTTCCTGGATGTTTTGATCTCTAAGAACGATACTGGATATGAGACTCAGGTGTATAGAAAACCAACACACACCAATAGATATTTAAATTTCAAATTAAATCACAATATTAATGTAAAAAAGGGAATAATTAAATCCTTATACGATAGAGCCAAAATTACTTGTTCTAACGAAAATTCGTTCTTGGAGGAGAAACATTTGTTAACATCTGTTTTATTAAAAAATGATTATCCTTTATCGTTTATAAATAAGGAATTTTCAACAATCGATCGAATAGAACAGAACAACTTAGAACGAGATCCTACAGCATACACAAGGAATAATATGAGGAAAATAACAATACCGTACATAAAAGGATTATCAGAAAAACTTAAAAGGATAGGAAATAAATTCAACATTTCAACAACATTCAAAACAACAAACACGTTGAGATCTATTTTGTCCAAAACCAAACCTAACAATGAACAAGAAAGGACAAAGAATTGCATTTATAAAATACCTTGTGAATGCGATCAGTTTTATTTAGGTGAATCATCAAGGCCATTAAATGTTAGAATAAGTGAACATCAATCTTATATTAAAAATAGAGAATTTGATAGATCTCAAATATGTAAACACGCATGGGATAATGAACATAGAGTTCAATGGAATAATTCAAATATAGTCCTAAAAGAAACGGATGGTAAAAAAAGAAAAATCAAAGAAGCGGCTCTAATTATGCTAAATGAGGCCAATTGTGTCGCAAATTCCTCGGCAGAATGTAGTAGGATCTGGTTACCAATATTGAAAGAGGAAGTTATTAATAAGAAAATACCAGTATTAGTAAGTCAGTAACATATAGAGGATACATCATTTATGTTTTTTAAATAACGTAACATAAAATCAGAATTTTGATGTTTGTTGAAGGTAAACTAAATTCACGAACAAATACTTACAATGTCGGGATAGTATTATGAGGTTTTTTTCCTGGTTTTTCCCTCATAATTTACTATGGAATCACTAACAGGAGAATTTTACTGTCATCATGTCATGTGTTTGTCTTTTTAAAGACGAATTACATGCTATGATTTTTTTCTGACGGATATTCTCAAGTTAAAGTTGATTTCATGTAATCGAATGAACTATCTTATAAGTAAAGTCGTCCCAGGAGCGCAACTCAACAATATTGGCAATATCATTTTAAAGTCGTCTACTTTAAAATGCATAATGTATGTCTGAATTGTCAATATAAATGAGTCAGATAAAATTAAATTAGCAGAAGAATTTTTTCACTATGTAACAAAAAACAAAATTTGTTTAATTTACTATTTGTATTTTGAGAACGATTTCCGAATTGGAAATTGAAACGTCAATAAATGTATTTTTATCTTTAATGTGGCTTATTCCCAGTTATAAATAGTAATTAATTTACAATGCCACAAGAAAATAGCTTCAGAACAATAATAATTCCTTGTACATTGAAATTTTGTATGATATTGATTGTAAAACAAATAATTTAACAAACAACTTTGATACCTACAGACTTTAAAAAGTTAAATAATAATAGCAAAAAAAAAAGAAAGAATTCAAGTATAACTCATATTAGTTTGATTTGGTGATCGGAAACGAACGTATGAAGAAGCAAATAATATTTTTAACGATTTAAACCATGAACTCTCTGCTATAATTATATTCACAGTACCCAGAATAGTAAAAAAATTTGATAAAACTGGTGGTGTAAAGGATGGTCCAAGGTCTAGTACATCGAAGACAGCAACTAATGACGATAAAACTTAAGATATCCTATTAGACGTTTAGGAAAATCCTCAAGTGTCTTCGAATGAACTGGCAAAAAATCATGACATTATGAAAAAGTCTGTAAAATCCATTTTATATGATGCACATAAATTTTACTCCATGCAAACACAACATAATTTTTTAGATTTTTTTGTATTCAGTAATGAAACCACATCCCGTTTGAATGGTTATATGAACATACATAATTCTCGATACTGATCAGATTGTAATCCGCACTGTATATTGTATATGTTTAAATTAATAACAAGATGAAAAAATATCAATATCTTTCAAACAGCTCTTCACAGTTATAAAAAGTTAGCTGACTTCACATACCTACTTAGTATACCTAGTAACGGAAAGGATATAAGTGCATAAAAAAGAAGAGAGTAAGCAAAGGGAACAAGGTTTTTACCTTTTAAAATACTAGTGCAGAATTGTAGAAAATACTAACAAGATAAATTGTGAACTATGGTTATTAAACATGGACCCTACTGAAGAAATACGAAGATGCCCTAAAAAGTTTTGAAAGCAAGATTTTTGGACCTGTTCGGCGTGAATCCGCATGCACTGACTTTGATGAGTTAAGTAAACTCGGTGATACAGTAAAATTTGTTAACGCTAATAGAATTCATTGTCGTGGCCACTTGCTCCGATGTTCAATAAAAAATACACAAACAATTACCGACTGGAGGCTGTAGAAAATAGACCACGAGGCTGACTTAGAGAGTCGTTAATAACAGGGAATGGAATGCAATTGTTGGCCAAAACATACAGAGGGTTGTAGAGCGAAAAAGAAGAAGAGTTTAATGATCATTTCATCTGTCTTTCCTTGTCTAAGCTCGATTCGTTTACCTCCTCCAGTGGCAGCTATGTATTTGTAAAGAGGCCGAACTTATCATCGACACCGTATCGGCCAAACGCATCGGTGTTATTGCTACAATACTGGGAGAGGCGAGTGGTCTCTTCATTCCCTTCTCATCGCACTTTACCATGACTCATGGTAGCTCATATCAGGCACACGCCAAGAACGATGAAACCGAGTTTATCTATTAATATTTTATATCACTTGAATTTTCATAGCTTCATTAGTGATAACTACGAAATTTTGAATATTGCTCATAAAAAAACTTCTCTTACCCTCGCATCTCTCCACTCTGCACCTTCTTGAGTTAAAAGATGCACAGTTATAGGATTCTTCTTATTAATATATATTCCTCGATCAGTAAAGTATTGAAAATCTTTTGTTAAAATGTCTTTAGCGTATATGGGATCTACTATTACTAAGTGTGGGTCTAGTCCAAAGTAAACACCTAAAAACAAAATATTTAAATGTCAATAAATGATGATGATGATGATATGTAGACAAAAGTAATATTTTTTTTATTTAAGTCTCATTACTTCCTTATAGACTTTAAAATTGTTTGCTATTTATTCTAGAAGAAGATTTTATCACAAAACTCTACTATATTTATGTTTTTTAAATATTTGGATTTTTTATTTTTTTTTTTATATAATTATTGAGTGGCTTTCATATTTCCTATGATAATAATATATTAATATATAGCATTTTTTATATAAAAATGCTTGCACGTCACAATTTATATAAAGTGACATATACAGTGTAGGAAAAATTTTATGGTCGGTATGGTAAAATTTAACAGGATATCTAACGCAGATATAAAATCATATTTTCAGCGAATAGACAAAGATAACAATCATATTTTCCCTTGATCTCCTTCCGCAAATATTTTTAACACCTATTGGCCATTAGTGAGACGAATAGTTCCGATCAGAGATATTTTACATATTCTCTGGTTCCGATCCTAATATACCTAAAAAACTAGAGGTGGGTCCTCCCGTTTTTTAAATTTTTATCGGAACCGTTTTTCGTAAACTGTAACTAGTTGATTCAAATTAGCGAGTACACAAACATATTGGCTATTATCGTTTATGTGTATAAGTATTGAAGTGAAAGAACCTAACGAAGGATATATTTATTATAACTTGAAAAATAAATTAAACAATACAAATAGTACTTACATTTACATTAAATCGTACTTACATTTACATTACACGTTATTATTAAATCGCGAATCGTCTAAATTGACATTTAAAAACAAGTTTTTCTACTTTTCTTGTTAACCGTGTTCTTCTTTTATTTAAAATTAAACCAGATTTTAAACATGTGTTCACAAGGAAAAGATTTTGTTACAATTCTACAATATTTTATGAATATAGTGGCTAAGTTAAGATATACATGGCGATGGTTTTTCCACCACGGTAATGGACAGTTCCAATCTCCGTTCGAAATTTATTGTGGGTAATATATTATCAGACAAATACATGTCGACTTCTTGTATATCTCTCGATACAGTTGTATGTTTAGATGAGTCATGTCCAATTAATTCATCAAAAATACACAATGGACTTAAGTCATCTTTATCAGTTTCTTTTTGTTTACTAAACTTATTGATTTACTAAACTTATGCAAAGACTCGTTTCATCCGTTTTCTATAGGTGAAGAACCAGCTTTTAAAAAGTTTGCAGGGTGGATTCCTGGATATAAACCGCCAACAAGAAAAACTGTTAGATTCATTACTTCAGGAATGTTATGTCAAAACTGATTTGATAATAGATAAAATAAAAAGTCCTTTTTTAGACAATTCTGCAAAAAACATTAAAAAAAAGTACCTTATCTTCTGAAAGGCTTTTAAAGTATTAATTACAACATAACAAAGTTCCCAAACGGCCAATCCAAGACGTGGAAACTAGGTAGAACTTCACCTATTACAGGTTAAAAAGAATGACTGAGTTAGAAGAGGCAATCCGTTTCACTTCTTCTTCTTTAAGTTCCATCTTCTATCGAAGGTTGGAAATCATCATGGCTATGCCGACTCTGTTGACTGCCGCTCTAAAAAGGTCTGCACTACTGCATTCAAACCATTCCCTTAAGTTCTTAAGCCAGGATATTCTTCGTCTTCCCACATTTCGCTTTTCTCGGATTTTGCCCTGCATAATAAGTTGTAATAATGCGTATTTTTGCCCTCTCATCACATGTCCCAAGTGCTCAAGTTTTCGTCTTTTATTAGTTAATATTATTTCTGCCTCATTTCCTATCCTTCTAGTTACTTCAATGTTTGACATTTTTTGAATCCATGATATTCGTAGGATTCTTCTGTAACACCAAAATTCAAAGGCGGCCAACTTATTCAGATGAACTTGTTTTAGTGTCCAAGCTTTCAGACCATAAAGAAGAGTAGAGAACACGTAACATCGAAGCATTCTCAGACGTAGTTCTAACCTTATATCCCGACAACAAAGAAACTTTTTAAGTTTAATAAATGATGTACGTGCTATTTCAATACGTGTCTTAATTTCTTTGGTTTGGTCTACATCTGATGTTATCCATGTTCCTAAGTATTTATAGTTATTAACACTCTTAATTGCAGTATCTTCAATAGTCAATTGGATATTTGTGCAGATTTAGTCATGATCATGCATTTAGTTTTCTTTAAATTTATCTTCAGTCCGTACTCATGACAGCGTTCATTAAGGCGTTGCATTAGGTTCTGTAAATCATTGTTGTTATCCGTAATTATTACTGTATCGTCTGCAAAACGTAAGTTATTCAAAACTTCTCCATTGATAGATATACCTTCTATTGAGTCTGAGAGCGCTTCTTAAAATACCAATCACTGTAGACATTGAAAAGTAGTGGGGACAGCACGCAACCCTGGCGGACTCCTCTCTGTATTTTGATATTTTCGGTGTACTGGCGTGTATTTCCGTTCCACATCGGTATTAAATAATACAGACTTAGACTTGGACCAAATCTAAATAAAAAACACTGGATTATTTGTTCTCAGCTTTCCCAAATTTTACGGCCGTTTAAAGAAATAACAAGTACAATGAATGACCAAAAATACTTGAAGGGTAGTTCAGTGATTGTTATGGTACGCGGCCTGCAAGAATCTTGCAAGAAAATTTTAGCAAACGGTAACCTTACATCCATAGTATCCGACGTAGTACAATTACTAATATCGGGTTTAGCAAAAATATTTAAAGGGATAGAACAGAGTGGCATATTGTCATTATGTACATTTATGGATTCACCATTTAAAGTGCAGGGTTTTTCTGATAAAAATGACGATAAAAAAATAAAAGAAAAAGTTAAGAAGCTGGTTACTTCTATAATTAACGAACAAGAAGATTGTACTATTGAAAATCAACCAGTACAAGAAAAAGAAACCAATAAAGATGACTTAAATCCATGGTGTATATTTGATCAATTAATTGGAGATGGCTCATCTACACGTACACCTGTATCGAGAGTCCATTACAACGGTGGAAAAATAATCGCCATGTATATCCTAACTTAACCCCTATATTCATACAGTATTGTAAATGTGAACACATGTTCAAAATCTGGTTTAATTTGAAATAAAAAAAGAAGACGGTTAATAAGAAGTAGGTATAGTAGAAAAACTTATGTTTTTTAATGTCAATTTAGACTATTCGCGATTTAATAATAACGTGTAATGTAAATGTAAGTACGATTTACTATTTGTATTGTTTAGTTTATTTTTCAAGTTATAATAAATATATCATTAGTTTCTTTCACTTCAATAAATATACACATAAACGATAATAGCCATTATGTTTGTTTATGTAGGTACTCTCTTACATGAAACTACTTTTAAACAATCATAGTTACTTGTTTACAAAAATTTAAATTTTTAAATTCATTCATTTTTTTTGGAATCCTGAGAAAACTAACAAATATTTTTGAAAAATTTAAATGCAGAATAAAAGGTTACATTATTACCGAGGGCCGAAAGTCCCTTAGAATAAACAAAAAGTCTTTTGAATGAGATATTTGAAATTAAAAATCACACTAATTTTTTTTTCGCCCTTATAACTTATTAAAATAAACATTATAGAAGTTTTCAGGGACTTTTGGCCCTCGGTAATAATGTATTGGTTCATTCTGCGTTTAAATTTTTCAAGAATATTTATTAGTTTTATCAGGATTCGAAAAAAATTAATGCATTTAAAAAATATTAATCCGAAATTTTATGCCTACGCTCTTAACGATAAAATTACCACGACCCACCTCTACTACCCGTTACTCGGTGTTCTGACCAGACGGACGACGTTGCCAAATAAATTATTGTGTATGAATATTTTTTAATGTGGTGTTATTGTATGCAGTTTATTATTTCATATTGGGAATAAGGCACAATGTGACTTTAAAATAAGCTTATTTTGATGTTTAGATTTTTAATTCGGAAATCGTACTTAAAATACGAAACATTAATAAATTTTATTTATATAAAACGATTTCCAAAGTGGAAATCAAAATGTTATATTACACTTATTGTAAAGTAAACTTGTGGCATATTCCCAATAAAAAAAAACAGTAAGCTGCCATTTAAATCAATTTCGCCCAAATTATGTTAGAACATTGTTCAAATGCACAAAAAAACAACAGGTCAAATAAATCCAATAAGTTTGGCAACGTTGAACTTCCCCTTTCCAGGCATGCATATTTGGCGATATAAAGGGCGGACCTAATATACCTCTCTCTTTCTAAACAGCTGTTTCTCATTCCATCTCACGTAAGGTCCATACCGACCATAAAATTTTTCCTACACTGTATTTAAAACTTCCAGGACGTCAACCTTAGAGTTCAAATTTTTCTAACACAGCTAATAATACGAAACCCATACGGAGCTGCTCGATCTTTCATAGGCGTCAACATGGTGTAATGATCAGAAAAATGTAATCATCATTATATTGAAAATTTTAGAATTATATTGATTAAATAACCAAAAACATTTAAATAAATTAATAAATAAATAAATATAAATTTTATGAAATAACTCTTTTAGTCTAATATTCCACAAAATAATAACTTTAATCAAAGATATTAGACAATTGTTCGCAACTGATACGGGAATACTTCATATTTTATTGACAGTTCAGAGTGTTGTAAAATTGTATGAAGTGTTTGTGCCGCTTTTTAGAGTAAGAATTTTGATTTTGTTTTGATTTCCTACACAATTTGATCATATTATAATGTATATATTAATAAATTGTTTAAATTAATTGTTTAAATACATATTAAATTTAGATTAGTAGCTTTTAAAACTAATTATTGTTGTGTATTGTAATTGTTCTATGCCAAAACAAATAAATTGTCTGTAGAAAGCTAATAAGCTTTTATATAAGAAATAATGGCGGAACTTTTTTTACTATTAAATCCTTAAAAGAGGTAAGTTTAAAATTTAGAATATATAATTTTGTAATA